TCTCTCTCTATATATATATATATATAGAGAGAGAGAGAGAGAGAGAGTCTTATTTTTCGTTCCCCATTGGGTATATCTGTACCCAGGGATGTCTGTAGTCAATTGTTCTGTATGAATGCCATGCAAGTACAAGGTCTGGAGCTGAATGCAACTTCAGTATTCCAAACATCTCAGCTTTTTTGTGGAAAATCTAAGTGTCTAGCCCTTAAGGCTGTGATAGGTAGATGTGGAAACATATGGGCAATATCTGTTTAACAGTGTGAGCCTATATGTGGCTACTTAGAAGTTGGTACCATTAAACTCAAAGGCAGAAAATGGGCTAGAGAGGTAATCAACATTTTCAGTACTCTTGCACAGGCTGCTGCTCTTCCTTTTGCTTAATAGAAGAGGAATAAATTATGCAAAGTGAGCAAACATGTATTTGTGCATCCGTGTGCAAACTAAGGAATATCTGTATCGCCAGTGCTGGGAAAATTCAGAGCTAGATTTTTAAAAATGAACATTGAGCTTTGCAGGCTGCTAAACGAGATTCTACAATGCAAAATGTGTGATTGGAATCATAAAGTCCTCAGATGCCTGGGCTTATAGAAAATACATTTTGGGAGGGCCTCTAACCGCTCAGCCGTGCCCAGAGACAGGGAGTCCAAAAGGGCCTGGAAAACCCTTGTGGCCAATGGGGGCTCTCCAGGCTCTGTCGGAGGCAATCTAGCTTCTCAGGACCTAAGCCCCAGTTCTTGCAGCTTCCCTGTCCCATTGCTGACCCCACCGTATTTCTTCCTCCCTTCTGTCCCCCGCACAGAGCTCTGCAGCAGCACCCATGTCCCGGAGGTGGAAATCATCAGCCTTCTGCAAGAGCAGCTCCCTCAGTACCAGCTCCGGGCGGACACGGTGTTTGGGTATGACCATGGTGACTGGATACACACCCCTCTGGTTGCCTCCGATGCGGCCAGCTGCCTTACACCCCACCAGATTAAGGAGACCCTGGAGTATTTCCGTAAGTAGGCCTCTGGTGGGAAATGGAATCTGAGGCAGGCTAGTTAAGGATGGGGTAAAAATACGATAAATAAATAAATAGTTATGACTCAGGGCTTTTCATAGGGGTTTTTCCTCATTCTTGGACTTGTTAGTGTGGGCAGTAATTACAACAGCCTTGAAAGGTAGGCCATTGTTGTCAACATGAGGACCATAAGGATGTTTCTCACTCTAGTCAACAGACCTCACAATAGAATGTATAAGTTAGTTTACATAAAGAAGTGAAGTTCCAAAATAATCAAATCAAATACAAAATACAAATACAAACATACAACTAATACAATTATATTACTCCTCCAGTGGGAAATGTTTTATATTGTATTGTTTCTTCATATTTGGAAGTATGAGTTTGCATTAAATATTGCATTGCATTGCATTCTTTTTCATTATGAGTGTTCCAAGTAGCAGGTGTTGATGGGCAGTCATATAAATCAGGTAGCAGCAGCAACAACAGAGAGCCTCAGCTATGGGGTGGTATAGAAATGAATTCTATGTAAATACATACATATTATAATGTGATAGGCAATCAGATGCTGGCCCTCACACATTCAGAGCACCTGCTCTATGGCAGCCTTTCCCAACCTGGTGGCTTTCAGAGGCATTTGGACTGCAACTCCCAGAATTCCCATCCAGCCAGGGCCATTGACTGGGAATTCTGGGTGTTGCAGTCCAAATGTGTCTGACAGACGCTAGGTTGGGAAGAGTGTTCCGTGAGTCTTCTCCCAGGCCACTGCTTGAGATCAGGACCATCCATCTGGCCCCTCCTTGATGCTAGCAGATGTGGAAAGCATCAAGCAAATTTAGTTTTCCATCTGCAGCAGCACTCCTTTTGCTTGGTAGATTTCTTTTTTCAAAACTCAGTTTCAAAGGGATCCGCTTTCATCCTCTTGTGACATCTAACGTGATTTCCTTTGAAAAACCCTGCCAAATCCACTTGAAAGCAAGTGACATGAGTGACCCTCCTCTGTGGGCTGGACATAACACTGTGCTTGGTGCATGGAAGAGGGGATCCCCTCCTCTCTTCCCCATCCCTGCTCCACCCGCTGCAGAACCACGGAATTCCTAATAGGGGTCTTTGATTAGCAGAGGCAATTGTAGGAAAACCCATGATATATCACGGAATCTGCTGTTAATACCACCAGACTGCTATTAATTTTGCAGATTTAATTTATTTCATCCAATCATGTCCCAGTTTGGTCCCCCCCCCCCCACTGCAGAAATGTTGCTTGCTGGTATTATCTTGTGTGGGGCTGAGCAGGGGTACTGAACTGATGGGAATACGTAATTTGAAAGCATTTTTTTTTAAATTGCAGCAGTGCTTTCTTATGAGTCAGAGAAAATTCAACTTCACCTGTACTTCTTGTATCTGTGGGAACTCTCTTTCTCTGCCTCGTTACATTCAATGCTAAATTTCTAAAAGTAGGCATACTGCTTTGTTTATTTATTTATCAGGGCAACACAAATAAATAAATAAATAAAAATTGGCAAGCAGCCCCCCTCTTGTAAAAGCATGCACTCCACCCTCGGCACATACTCAGAGGTACTCTTATTTATGTGGATTAAACATGGAAACATAGACACAAAGCGAATCAGAAGGGTCCTCCCGAGCCATCTAGCTTGACTCCTGGCTCCAGCGGGCTCCACTCATGTAAACCCCAACATGTGGTTGTCTAATCTTTCCTTGAGCACCCTCTCTGATGGGGCCTCCACCACCTCCTGTGGAAGCCCATTCCATATCCTAGGAGTCCTAACCATCAGAAAGGACTTCTTGAAATCCAGCTAGCGCTTTGCCCCACTGGAACGCGTCCTGCCCTCCACTGCAGGGGAGATCAGGTCATGGCAATCTTCCACACAACATCCCCTCACATACCTGTAAGTCACTAAAAGATCCCCGTGGAGTCTCCTCTTCTCCAGGCTGAAAAGACCCAGTTCTCTCAATCTCTCCTCATATGTCATCCCTCCCAGCCCAGATCACCTGCTCCTTAGTTGTGGCCATTGCCCCCACTTTGGTATTGTCTGCAAATTTAGTCAGCAGACTGGCTATTCCCTCCTCATTGATAAAAAGGTTGAACAGATTTGGTCCCAGAACTGAGCCCTGGGAGACTATGCTTGCCACTGGCTGCCATCCTGATGATTCCCCACTGAAAGTCACCCTCTGCTTGAGGTCTATCAACCATGCCCTAATCCGTTGGACAGTGCATCGATCTATCCCAAAGCTCAACAGTTTCTCAACCAGGATATCATGCGACACTTTCTCAAATGCCTTGCTGAAATCCAGGTAAGCCACATCCATCGTGTCCCCTCTGTCTAGCCCCCTCGAGACCTTGTCATAGCATTCCACAAGGCTTGTCTGGCAGGATCTGTTTTTACAGAATCCATGCTGCATGGCTGCCAACCTCCCATCCCTATCTGGGGTTTCTAGAGCTTTCCCTATTATGAGCCTTTCCATTGTCTTTCCCGGAATGGACGTAAGGCTAAATGGCCTGCATTTCCTCATATCCCCTCTGTTACCCGTTTTGAAGATTGGAACCACTGATTCCAATCCTCCAGAATTTCTATTTTCCACAAGGCCTCAAAAATAAAGGCCAATGGACCCAAGTGTGCCCCTGCCAATTCCCAAAGCACCCTCAGGTGTAGCCTGGCGCCTTTGTAACATCCAGGGCCCTGAGGAGCTCCTCAACTTCTAGAGAGGTGACCCCAGTCTGTGCCCCCATAACCTCAACCTTATCCAGCCCCCTCCCCCCAGGCAGATCTCCCCCAACCTGCTTTGGGGAGAACACAGAAGCAAAACCATCATTTAACATCTGTGCCTATTTCCTTGCATCAATTACCAGATCCCCTTCCTCCCTTTTAAGTGGCCCTACCGCCTGTCTCCCCTTCCTCTTCTTATTTACATGAAGGTAGAAGCCCCTTTTGTTGTTCTTGACATTCTTCGCAAGTCTCAGCTCATAATCAGCCCTAGCCTTGTGAGGAATCCTGCATTGTGTGGCCTCTTCCTGGTATACCTTTTGTTCACCTGCCCCAGTGTCCATTTCCTGTGGTGGTCCCTCTTCCTTCTAACCCCTCTGTAACCACCTCTCTTCCCATCCATGGTGGCACCCTCCTACACGCCCCCCCCCCCCCGCACTTTGCTAATCAACATACACCAGGGCTGGTTCTTTTTATATGGAAAATCTCCAGGGAGCTGAAACATTTCCCCCCCACCCCGCTTACACACACACACACACACAACAAACCCTTTCCTGACAGCTCTGTTGGTGGCCTTACATAAATAGCCCTCTTATCCCGCACCCCTGCCTCGCCAAGGACACAGGGAGCTAATCTTGGCTTAACAAGGTTGGCCCCAGGGATTTCCGGACTCCTCAAGAACATCCTTGCTATTTCTGAGCCCATCCTCTTAGCGCCTGCCCCCTTTCTAATTCCACTGGAGAGTCTCGCTAACGGGCAGCTGGAGGCCCATTCTCCAACCTGGCTGCCTGCAGTGTGGCTTCCACAACATAAATGAAGTTGCAGAAAGTCCGATGGTGTGGCTGGAGAAAGGGTACAGCCTGCTTCTCTTAGCAATGGCAGGCAACTGCCCAGACTGTGCCATTCTAGACTGCAGGGAGGTGGGGCTCACATGACTGAATTATCATCACTCCATTATAAAGGGGAAAAAAATCCCTGCTCATAATAAGACTTACCAGGGAGAAGGCTAAGGCAGAACTGCAAGTTTTCTATATGCAGGAACTTCTTTGGATAGAGGAATTTTGAAGTGCAGAGATTTGCGGTGGGGGGGGGGTTGTATTCTATCACATGAGCACTATCTACAAACAGTCTGAGATGGTACGGCCCAGACTAGGCCTGGGCCAGGGCTGGAAAGTCTGGTTTATTTAAGCTTGATGGATGGTGTGTCTGGTGGGCTAACCCAACACTGCCAACTCTGGCCAGTCGTGCTGCTTCCCACCGTGGGCCTTGCACCTGATGAACTTCCGCAGCAGGAGATGCAGGAACTGAACATGGTGTCAAGCGTGCAGAGATTGTGCTCTTGCTGCCACTGAGCTGAGTCCAGCCCTTTTCCAAAGCCTGGCCTTTCCCATTTTTGGGTCCCCAAATGTTGAACTACAACTTCCACTATCCCCAACCAATGACGCTGCTATCTGGAGAAGATGGGAGATGTAGTCCAGTAACATCTGGAAATCCACAGCTGGAAAAGCTGCCTCTAATCTCCTGCGGAAATGGTGCCCGTGTGTGAGGGGGCATTGGGTAGGGCTGGGGGCAAGAAAGCAAGCTCTGAGTCAGGCAGGACCTCCACGCAGAACCTTCCAGATAATCTTCCGTAGTGCAGCTCCCCCAGGGGCCCTAATGAGATTGTCTTGAGATGCACAGACCAAAACAGGACTGCTAATTCTGGAAGGGGATTACTTGCTTGTGCACCACTTCTGTCCACCCATATTTATCCATCTCTCTCGCCTTCCTGCTGTGCATGACCTTGTGCTTCCTTCTGAGCAGCTTTGCAGCCAATTCTTGTACATTTTCTTTTGTCCTTTGTTAGGGGCTGTGCTCCAAACGGCAGGAGTAAGGGGGTGCCTCCAGTGGTGGATTCTGGATGTCATTAAAACTGGCCGAGTGAGGACACTTAAACCTGACCTTCCTCCAGAAAGTGCCCCTGTGCAAAACCCTGTTGAAATATACAAGAACTTCCCAGTGTTCTTGCAGAGCCTCCGTTCATACCAACAGGGCTGGGGCACTTCTGGCTAGCAATCAGAAGGCACTGGGCAGCACTTCCATGTTTTCCTTCCTAACTGATTTTCCACATTAAGGAAAAAGATGGATGAAATAGTGGGAATGCACAACATTGCAAATGGATGGCCATGGAATTATTTATTGATTCCTTTGTGCAGATTTATAGCCCTCCTTTTTTCTTACAAAGAAAATTCAAAGTGGCTTACATTATTCTCTTCCTCCTCAATCTTATTCTTA